GCCTCACCTTCTGTCAGTGGGCTGGCAGGGAATGCCCGTGATCCAGACTGGCTGGGGAGGGAGAGAAGAGACCAGTAACCCCCTCCCCATCTCTTGCAGTCAGAAATTTGGGGGGAGTCCAGCTTGGACTACTGGAAGCAGTCGATTTAGGTACGGAAGGGGCGGGACGTGCTTGCATGGATGGAGGTTATCCCGTTTGGAATGACCGTGATGCTGAGATCTGAGGTGCTTGGAGATCTCGAGTGTCCAAGGAAATGGGTGTCTCCTGTGTGTAGCCAGCGAGCCCTGGGGTGGCATTTCCGTGCTCTCTGCTCAAGGAAGCACCAGGCGTAGCTGATCTCCCTGCCACGGATGGACCTGCCCCTGGTTTTATCCCGTCACCCCCGGTGTTATCCTGTCGCCCCCGGTTTTATCCCATCGCGCCTCATCTTTAGGCCCTGGCAAATGAGATGTGATCTCGGGGCAGGAAAGAGCCATTCCCCGGTCCCCGCTGCAATGTTTTACTCGGATTATAGGCATCAAAGCCTTAGGGCTGAGCACGAGCTCGCGGATGCTCGGACACGGAGACAGAAGGGAAGGGGGACACGGAGATTTGCCGGTGACAGCATGGCACATGAGTCACAGCTTTGATGGGACGCAGACAGGGTCAGCCTTCCAGCTCACGTCCCTGGCCTCCTGCAGCCCCCTCCCAGCCCCCGGAGCCCCGTTCCGCTCCCCCTTCAGGGTTATTTCCAACCCGATCTCGATTATTTCCCAGCTTCCAGTTTCCTAAATCCTTCCCCATGCTGGTACCGCTGGTGTGGACTGGTCCCTGACCCTGCTTGCCCAGTCTGAGCTGCGGTCCTGCTGCGTGGCTGTTAATATCGGGGCACTCATTCCTACCCTCGCTGTGCTTACTTCGGCCTCGAGCATGCTTTCCTCTTCCTCCTCACGTTAAAAGATGGTCTCCTGTTGGGGCCTGCTTCATGCCCCAGCTCCTGTGAGCTCGGCACAACCGGGGCACGGGAAGCCTGGCCCCGTACCCAGCTCTGCCGATGGATCGCGGGGCTTGGGTGCTAACGTCCTGGCAGCTGAGACCGGATCAAATTCGTTGCATGTGGGATGCAAGAAGTGGGGGGCTCAGGTGCCGCTCGTGCGAGCGCTCCCAGCCCTGCTCAGCATGGGGACCCCCAGCTCTGACCTTGGGAGTGCTCTGCACCCCACATGCCCCGGAGGGAGCTGGGCTGGAGCTCTCGAGGTCCTGATTTCCCACCCTCAGTGAGCAACCTGGGGCAAATTGGGGGCGGTTTGGGTACCCCAGACCTTGCTTCGCCTCCCTGCAGTAACCGTGCTCTTCCTCGCACCACCCCCCC